TAACTATGAATAAAATATCTATCCCAAACTTGTGGGTGCTACATAACAACTCTAGTGCATGTCTAGTTATCAACATTGATTAACGGATCTAATGCACGTCTAGTAAGTGACATGAGTATTGTAGGCTCTCGACACTAGTGCCGATCCACTAACTCCCAAACAAACATAACATATCATACAATCAAGTAATCAACATACAGTAGACTCTTCTAGCCTAGTCATTCAATTTAATATAGTATAATATCAATACATCCTATCATATAAAGAACATATACTGTAACACATAGTATAGTGAGATAACTCGTGAACAAAGAGGTAAAGGTATCAAAATTACAAGCATGCACACACACAAAAACAGTCTATCATGCTACCTAGATAGCAATTAAGGGTCAAATCTCTACCTACAACTCAATCCTTAAAGTTTGACCAAAATCAATGGCCAAAGTCAATGGGCAATGGCAGGCACGTTGCAACATACAACACGCCAAAATAGTCATGGCAAGCTATCACGACATCCTAATGGTCGAGTCACGCTTTCGTTTATTTAACAAACTTTCATATAACTTTTAATCCCTTCATTCCAAATCTCAAAACTCCAAATCTCATTCTTCCAAGGGACTTAGAGGATAAAGTTTCAAACTTTATCCATATCCTCATCAAAACATGCTCAAAACTCAAACCCTGATTCTCTAGAAGCTCAATAAGACAAGAACTTGTACATGAATCAAAAGGAATCAAAGTACACACCTTTTTCTAACATCTTAAGTCCAAAAATCACCACAAAATAGTCCATAGGTTCTACAGTTGCTCAAATGCCAAGAACATTCCTCAAAATGGTCAGTAATGGACTCTAAATCATGAAAAAAGAACTCAAGAGTAATAAATGTGGAAGCTTTATACCTTTACAAGGTCTAAAAGAGTCTAGGAATGAAAGGTCTCCATAAGAACAAACTCTACAAAAATCAAGATCACCTCCTTCTTCACCAAGTGCCACTCCAAGGTTCAAGATCTTCTATGAGCCATGGAGTCGTATGACCGTTTCTATACAGTATTCCCCCAGGATTGCATATTGGGGGGCTCGTATCCTTGTTTTCCGAGCCTCTCCATGATAGGCGTCATCTAATTAGGATGCGTTGTCGATAGGGAATCAACCTGGCTCCCGTCGATACTCCTCTCTATTAGTACCTCCACCAATACTTCCTTTGAAAGGTGCCCAAAACATGTTGATGCTAGTTTGCTGAGGGCATCTGCTCGCCTGTTGTTTACCCTTGAAACCTGCTTTATTTTGAAACTCTTTAGTGAACTCATGATTCGTTGAACCTCCTTGACATACTTCTCCATTCGTTTATCCTTTACTTCGAATCCCCCTAAGACTTAGTTAGCTGCTAAGCGTGAATCAGTCAAGATCATAACCATTTCCACCCTCATTTTGACTGCCAATCTGAGACCAGCCAGCAAGGCTTCGTACTCGGCTTCGTTGTTGGAGGTGTGGAAGTCGAAACGTAAAGCGTATGTAACTTCTTCGCCTGTGGGGATGGTTAGGATGAGCTCTGTGACCGATCCTTCTTTGCTGGAGGCTCCATCGGTGTAGAGAGATCATTGTTGGACAGTTTTTCCCTTCAGATATCCTTCCCGGGTTGTGCCAGTTATTTCTTGCTGGAGCTCCCCTAGGATTTCAAGCGGGAAATTCGCTAATGTCTGTCCCTTGATGCTTACTCTGGGGTGATAGCTGATATCATGCTCCCCTAACTCTATGGTCCATTTTGCAATTAGCCCATATGTTTCTGGCTTCAGGAGCACTTCCTTGATCAAGCAGCTGGTTAACACTTCTATCTGGTGAGCTTGGAAATATCGATGGAGCCTTCGTGCTGCATAGATTAAGGCAAGTACCTGTTTCTCGATGATTGAATAGTTGATTTCGGGTCCCTATAGGTCCCGACTCATAAATTAGATCAGGAGCTACCGCAGCTGCCTCTTGACTACTAGTACCGATGAAATAACAGCTTTTAATGCAGACAGGTAAACTTGCAGTGTTTCTCCGGGTATCGGGCTGGCTAGAGCAGGGAGTGTGTGGAGCGCCTTTTTTTTTTTTAATCTTTTTTAGCACCGAATCAGCTTTTGGTGTCCATTGGAAATTATTTTTTTATGCACCCTTTGAGCGTATTGAACAATGGCATGGCTTTTTCAGCTGACCTGGAGATGAATCGGTTGAGTGCCGTTAATTTTCCATTAATGCCTTGCGCGTCCCTTAGCGTGTTAGACGAAGGCGTTTCCTTGAGCTCCCTTATCTTTGTTGGGCTTGGTTGGATTCCATCCTTTGTCACATAATACCCACTGAATCGCCCTTCTTCTACCCCGAAGGTACATTTGGCGGGGTTTAATTTCATCTTAGCTCTTTCCAAGGTTTGTAATGACTCATCCACATCTCATAGTAGCTTCTGCTCATATGGGCTTTTAATAACCATGTTGTCGACATAGACTTCAATATAATAGGCCAATTTGGTTGGCAAACAAAGAGTCGACGAGTCGTTGGTAAGTTTGGCCGACATTCTTCAACCCATATGGCATTTTTGTGTAGCAAAAAGTACCATGATCTGTGTAGAAGGTTGTTTTCTCTTCTTCGTTTTTGCTCATTAGGATTTGATGATACCCCTTGTATGCATCTAGGAAGCATGTCCACTGGAACCCTTGAAGAGACTCTACTTTCTGGTCTATCTTTGGTAACGGGCAGCAGTCCTTGGGGCATGCCTTATTGAGGTCCAAATAATCAATGCACATACGCCAACAAACGTCGTGCTTTTTTACCGTTACCGGGTTGGCGGTCCATGTGGGAAAAATCGCTCCTCTAAGGATTCCAATGCTAGTTTGTTTGGCCACTTCTACGTTGATTTCCTTGTTTCGGTCTCCTCCTTAGATTCGCTTCTTCTGCTTTATTTCCTTAGTTCCTGGTTTTATCATCAACTTGTGTTCTATGATTCCTCGGTCGATGTGGGAGGGCTATTCCCACGTTCACCTGTTGGTCTGGGTATTCCCTGTGAATTACATCTCCCCCGTTTCAAGAGTCCGACCTTGGTATTTTTGCTTTGGCTGAGATGTCTTTCGGTTACATGATCTCATAGCATTTGAGCTCCTTGGGGTGTGGGGTGGCTAGGATCGTTATCGGTCCTGGCCTTGTGTTGAATTTAACTATCCCATGGATTGTTGATGAGACTACTCCTAATTTTAGTTGGGTCGTCCGCCCCAATATGATGTTGTGTTCTGACGGGTGTTGTATGACTACAAAGTCCACCGGAGTGGTTTGTCGCTTGGTTTTCTCTTGACTGGTTAATGTAAATGGAAAATGAATTGTAGCTAAGGGCCACAAGTTGTGCCCTGTGAATCCTGTGAGTTGGCCTACAACTAGCATCAGTCTCTCCTTCCACGCGTTCGGTAGTAGCCAGAAACAGTGTTTGTAGATAGTGTCTGCTGAACTTCCCATGTCGACGTATACTCGGTGAACGACGATATCCCAAATAGATCCTTAAATGACGACGGGGTTGTCTCCGCGCCAAGCAATCGCGCTTGGGTAGTGTATGGAGAATGCCAACCCTTGTATTGCTTCTTTGATGCTTCGTGTGTCTACCGTGTGTTCCGCTTTCCCCCTTTTGTGGTGAATCGCCAAGATTTCCAACCTACGATCTTTCCTTCCAGTGGCATCTTTGGAGTTTTTTGCATCGAACTTGGCCTATAGACTCTTGGCGATTTCTATCACGTTTTCCTTTAGTTGATTTCCCTTAATTTCCCTTTTTATAACTATGCAATTGATCATGTCGTGCGTCCTGCTTTTGTGGTACTCACAATATCACGTTTTGGTGCCTTTTGCTGCTGGTTTCTCATCGACCGTGTAAACTTCTGCTCGTCTTCCCCTCCTTTCGTCTTTAACGAAAGGTCTAAAGAGTTTTGGCAAACGTCTTTCTCGTCCCATGAATCCCCCCCCCCCCCGAGGATCGGGATCGAGGTGGAGGGTAGGATGTTGGCCTCGCCTTCCGACAGAGGCTTTCATGGCATTATGGTACGCCTGCTTCGACGCTTTGCCTTCCTCCTGGCATAGGAATAGCTCCACTCGATCTTTTAGTTATGCCTTTGTCTAAGGTTGTTTGTCCATGAGTTTCTCGGATAATAATCCCGGTAAGAATCCCCAGGTGAATGCTCCCGCGATCAGACCTTTGTCTTGCCCTAGGACATCTAGCGTTACTTTAGTGAATCTGGTAAAATAGTCTTTGATTGTCTCCCCCTCCCGCTGTTTGCACCCAATGATCGAGTGGCAATCGCCCTTGTATTTCTTGAGTTGCATGAAGTTATTTAGGAAAAGGTACTTCAACTAGCTGAAGTTGCTAATGTTTCATGGGCGTAGTGTCTTAAACCATGTCCCTGCGTTGCCATCTAAGGTAGTGGGAAACTATGTGCACCAGAATCGTTCATCTAGCTTGAGGGTTGTACTAACATGTTGTTATAGGCCATGAGGTCTATCGTTACTGAGACATAGATGTTTGACAGCTGAAATGGAGTAGGGAAGGTGTAGGACATGGGTATTTGCTGTTGGGCAATGGGTATTTGCTATTGGGCCATGGGTATTTGTTGCTGGGCCATGGGTATTTGCTGGTAAATCACAAGTTGTGATGTTGATGCAGTGCCCGACATTAATGATGGGTAGTTTTTTGGTTGTGGTGTAACACTTGGGCCATTTATAGTGTTGTTCGCTCATAAGCTGTTCGCAAAAGGCGTTATGGTTGTTGTTTGAGGGTTGCTGGAACTGGTGGTGTTATGGAAAAATGGCGGTAAAGAGGATACGATGTATTGGTTAGGCATACTGCTATTTTGGAATGATGGGGGTGTTACGTGAGTGAGGGTGGATGACGGTGTTTGGGTTTGGGTCAGAATCGACTATGTGATTGATGTGATAGAGAGTGGTGGATCATCTGGTGATGGTGTCTTCATGAGATACGGTAGCGGACTACCGGATGATGGTGCCGCTTAAAGAGGTGGTGGCAGGTCATCAGATGACGGTGCTGCTTCAAGCGATAGTGGCATGCCGCCAGAAGATGGCGCCGTCGGAGTGTTGGTTGCTTCCAACGACTCCCTCGGGTGTATCGGGCTATGCGGTGGTTCTGATGGCTCACCCGTCGTCTTCTTCGTCATGTGTGGGTATGTTGAAGGAAAGAGAAAAGAAAAAAAAAAGGTCTACATATGTATTTTCACACAAACGGATGGTGCCAAATGATGTGACCTGGCTCCAAACCACCTTGGCTACTGAGAGATGGACATCGGAATGGAACCTGAAAGGCCACAAAAGAAGAGACGTCAGTTGCTCTCTGGGAGGAGGTCTCGGAAAGAGGCTCCGACGGTCAAGTTAGTGGGATGAATCTGGAGTATGGAGGTAGATGACCGGAGAAGAATAGCCTACCTCCCAAGGCAGAGTAAGCGTCCTTTTATACTGAGGATCCTTCTCGGTCCGTACGAGGGAGAAGGAATGCGACTCCGATGGGATCCTCCGTCCTTATTGGAGGACCTTGCTCCACATATGTGTCCAGTCCAACGATTGGTCCAGGCGATAATGCTCTGGCCGTGCTCTTTCTCGCTTAAAGTCTTTATCCTTGGACTGTAGCTGAAGGACAACGTCTGGCGAGGGCGGACTTCCTACGCGGTCGCCTCTCGGGAGTACGGGGTTACCGAAACGACCGAGTTGCTGGTCCGGGCTCCGCTAGGAAGTCCTCGTCAGGGGCTCACTTATTTCTAGCCTGCTATGAGGGGCGCATCATCACCAAAATCACATAATGCAAAAAATATTGGCGGATGTGGTGCGATCAATTCGGTCCCTTCCCTTTCAATCTGGAAGTACCTGAAGCATAAACTGAAAACTATAAGCACAAAGCTTGGTGAATTCCTAAAAAGTATCCCATACTATACATACATAACAATCAATTCATAACTTGGTCTATTTCACCCATTTGGTACCTTTCAACCGGTACTGGGTCTATTTCACCCCCTTTGGTATCTTTCAATCGGTAATGGGTCTATTACACCCCTTTCAGTATCTTTCAACCGGTACTAGGTCTATTTCACCCCCTCCGATATCTTTCAAACGGAACTCGGTCTATTTCACCCCTATAGCTAAGAATATAATCATATGAATAGAATTCATGAAGAAAACAAGCATAAATAGACATAGCATGAAAATGTCACCAAGACACTATCATCCTACTAACATAATCTATAGGGTCGACATTGGTGCCTTCAAATCACGAATATAGTGAAGGAAACTCACCTCAGACTGAAGATATCAAATCACACTCAAGCTACTGACTCGTGAAATCCTCTTACTAAATCACAAGTAATAAAACCCTAATTAGAAATTAGGTCAATAACCCAACCTGAGAGTCCAAACCCTAATTCTTGACTCCCAAGGTAAGAGGTTGCTTAGTCCTTGCCTTATTAGGCCTAACCCATAAAGGCCCAAATATAATTGGCCCCAAAGCCCAAAAGATATTGCATGCCCAAAATGGGCCCAAGTCCAAAAGGCTCATCATAGAAAAACTTGCGGTCTAACAAGGGTCCAAATTCATAAGCCCAAGGTGGCCCGAACTAAAAAGCCCAAAATGTCCCACTAACACTAAGTGTACCATCAGTACGCTCAGCATACTCGGGTGCTCCATGGAATTGGGACTTTGGGTGCATACACGCAATGCACACCAATGTACGCCCGACATATGCCCCAACTTGCCATAAGTTGCTTTTGAGGTCTTGATTCATTAAGATCAAACGTCTAACTTCAGATCTAATCTCATTTAAGTGTATTAAGCCATGAAGTTGCAAACTTTATGCTTTTGCATATCTTAATGGGGCTCAAACCAAGAATTAAGCCTTTTATCTCCCTTAAGTGGTCACTAACTCATGCATGGTTGAGTTCTAACCTCTAAGATTTGATTTTGTATGACTCCATGCACTCCTAAGTGATGAAAAGGATAACTCAAATGGGCTGGAGTAGTTCATACTCCATGAGAGCAAAGTTTTGGGACCAAAACTTCTAAATCTATGCACCAAAAGAGATCTAAGCAAGGAACCATCAAGGTAAGAAGTTTTTACCTCCAAAATCTTGCAATGAAGAAGATATCCCTGGATCTTGTAGCTCCAACTCCAATAATGCTCCACCACCAAGTTCTTTCTTATTCAAGCTCACAAAAGAACACCCAAAAACTCTCAATAAACTCAAGAACTCTCTCAAGATGGCTAGGGTTTCAAGATTAGTTCAAAAAGGAAATGGAGGTTGATAAGGTGAGGGGTTTGAAGGACTTAATAAGCTTTAATAGGGTGCAAACCCTAAAAATTATGGTTTTCTGCTAACTTACTTACTCCCTTCATACGCATGGGTATGCCCAGCTTACGTAAAGGACACCTCGCCTCAAACAATCATTAGAGTACGCTTGGCGTACCATGTGTACGCCCAGCGTACTTGAGCCTAAAAGTCCAAATGAAGGAAAATAATTCTTAAGAGTTTTACCTGACGAGTTGGTTGTTAAAATTCTCCCCACTTGAATTAGACTTCATCCTCAAAGTTCACTATCGCAAATAACCCTGGATAATGCTCCCCCTTCCTCAGGCTCTCATGTCTATTCAAAACCCTTCCGGTGTTGCCACTGCACCATCACCAATCTTACAACCTTGTTCGTCAAGGTTTTCGTCTTCCAGTCAAGGATTGTCACCAGTCTCTCAACGTAGTTTAGGCAGTCATCCACCTGAATATCTTCCAGCGAAATCTGTCACACCCTAAATCGGAAAGGCGGAAACATTCGGGGGCGGAAGACGTCATGTTTAGTATCACAACACATGTATCATAGTAAGCATAGTAATAAAAAACCATTATATTAATATTAAAGTGTTTACAAGTAGTGATTAACAAAAGATTGAATACAAAAGTAAATAACAAAATAAGTCATGAAGCAATAATGCTCCATCTTATGAACCCCAGCGCACGTACCTATCTACTAGTTTCCTAATATAACAAGTTATTTTGAAAGAGTAGATCAACATTTAAGCTGGTGAATTCATAAGATTTTAGTGATGTAAAGTATCTTGAAAGTTCTTTTAGAAAAGTTCGCATGTTCCTCCTGAAGATCCGATATCTTCTGATATGATGAAAGATAAGTAAAAATGACTCTACAATCCTTTCTATGAGTGCTAAATAGATACAAGTTATATAAAACCGAGAGTAAACAAACAATCGACTGTGTAAATCAGCCCTAAGCCCACAACCAAACAAGGAACAGGAAATGAGGCGGAAGTCACACATCCTATTGTTTGTTAGGTCTTCGTTTTATATAACCCGGGTGCATTCACTTGGTACTCATGGAGTTAACTGTAATAGTTCCTTTATATTTGATGAAATTTTTTTTAAGAAAAACCCTTATATCCTTTAGTAAAAATAGTAACCGTAATAGTTCCTTCTATAATCACTTAGTTTATACTAGTTATATATAATCTAATATCGAATGGATAGTTAATTGTGTGAATCTGGCCTAAGCCCAAAACCAAAAAAGGAACAGGAAGTAAGGCGGAAAGCACACATCCAGCGGCCTATTGATATTAATTATATATAACTCTGATGTATAAGCTAAGGTATTATGGAATTAACCGCTAAAGGTGGTTTAAGTTATACTGGTTTAATAAAATGGATTAAACCCTTTTACTGATAAGTTTCTAGTTTAGATTACTTAATGTTCTATTTGAAAAGTATGTTTTTGTACTAGAAATAGGTGTATTGAATTTGTATACGATGACCTGACCCATACCTGGTACTCCTTATGATTACTTGGTGTATACGATATATATATATATATATATATATATATATATATATATATATATATATATATATATATATAACTATGATCGAATAAATAGTAGACTAGCTGCATTTGCTCCAAGCCCACAACCAAACAAAGAACAAAGAATGAAACAGAAAGCACACGTTCTAACTGTCTATCGGACCTGATTAATATATATCACTGATGTATCTACTGATGAATCATAAAGTTTGCATTATAGGCCCCCTTCTAACTGAATGTACTAAGACTCGACTATTCTATTAGTCTTGTTTAATTATGTAAGTTTTCCCATGATTTAAGACTATTTTTAATAGATGACATTACCTTTTGTGTGAGGAGATCACAATAAGAATGTAATGGGAAAAATGAAAGTATTCAGTAATGTTATGAAAAGTGACTACTAAAGCACTTTCTACCTTATAACTAGCTTGTTAATTAATGTTAAAATGTGAGATGGTTGTAACCAAGCTTGATCGACTAATAGTAAACACGACACTTGAAGACGTAGAAATGTTATGACATTTGTCACCCGAAGACCTTCAGGTCCCACTGTAGCTAGCAGCAAGGTGTAGGATGGTCAATCTAGTATACTCTGGTTACAAAACGCGACCTAATAAGTATATTCCTAAGTCGTGAAGTAGTGGTTTCACATTATTGTTATCTTGTTCTTGTTATCGTATGTTCCTTCTGTTTTAGTTATCGTATGTTCTGAACCCCTAAACTATACCATTCATAGTTTACTAGTATGTTTGTTTGAAATGTTACTGACTTGAATAAAAGACTAATTTATCTACTTAGTTATGATTGTACTTTAACAACGGTGTTTTATAAACAATAAAGTAACATAACTTGAAAGAGTTTTTGAAATGGTTTTGATCACTTATAAAGTATAAGAAATCCTTTGAATTTGTCACCCGAAGACCTTACTTGGGGTAAGACTCACGCTCTCCCTCCAGGAGGCTCTGGTTACAAAACGCGACCTAATAAGTATATTCCTAAGTCGTTAAGTAGTGGTTTCACATTATTGTTATCTTGTTCTTGTTATCATATGTTCCTTCTGTTTTTGTTATTGTATGTTCTGAACCCCTAAACTATACCATTCGTAGTGTACTAGTATGTTTGTTTGAAATGTTACTGACTTGAATAAAAGACTAATTTATCTACTTAGTTATGATTGTACTTTAAAAACGGTGTTTTATAAACAATAAAGTAACATAACTTGAAAGAGTTTTTGAAATGGTTTTGATCACTCATAAAGTCTAAGAAATCCTTTGAATTTGATAGTTACCACAAATAACATTTACACAACTATCATTGTGTTCAACTTGTATTCCCCCCTTAAAAGCATTTAAAAACATTTAAAAGATTGATTATAGGGGTATGAACTCACCTTATGTGGGTGATTCAATAGATGATTCGTGTGATGATGAGAAGTTCCACGAATGGACTCCCGAGACACAAACGAGTCCTAAATGACATATAATAGCATATAATGGCATGTAATTAGTGTTTAACACAACTAACATGCAAGGAAACAACCTTAGGGACTAGGAAACACTTGAAATGAAGTGTTGAAATCACATGTGATTGATCAAAGGGGAGTGTACGGCCAAGGGAAGTGTGTTTACAGCCACACTTGAGTTTACGGCTACACCATGTGTGTACGGCGGTAAACTCATGGAAAACCATGCAAAGTGGAGTGTTTGATCCATGGGGAAACAAATGTGCCAAGAGTACAACAAGAAGATGAACAAAACTCTCATTTTGGAGGGACTTGAGGAGTGTACGGCCACACCATGTATGTACGGCCGTAAACACTCCAAATGGTGGCATTTTGGGTCTTGATTTGTGGGTTCAAGAGTTCTAGTGGATAGAAATCACCAAGCAAGTGTTTTAAGGCCTTAGGTTATGAACCAAACAAGGGTATACGACTGTTAATAAGGTGTACGGTTG